TTTTTTTTTTTTTTTTTTTTTTTTTTTTTGAAAAAGGTCAGTTCCTTTTTTGTATTTTATTATATGCCATCCTTTTTTTTTCATAGAGAAAAACATGCGATGAGTTGAGAGAGAACACAGGTGATGGAACCCCGGGTCCGGCGTCCCATCACTGTCTGTCCTGCATTCCTAAAACTGAGGCCCAAGGCCAGGGCCCAGCCAGGGCCCCTGGGGGACACCAGTGGTCCCTGTCTGTTCCTTGGCCTGCTTTCCAAAAGGCACTAGCTACAGTACCTGCTGGCCAATTGGCGTTGGGCCTCCAATATTTTCAGAGAGGCTCAAAACAGGTTCTCCAGTTGCCTGGGCCCATGTACTGGTCGTTTAAGACAAATACTAATCCCAGTGAAGTTGATGTGGGGTAATAAAATGTCTATCAGAGTGAGCAACAATGCTGTACTCGGTGATTCATTTGTTCAGCCTATCCGTTTGTTTCACGATGATGCCCTGGAATCTGAGTCGTAGTCACAATTTGGCAACGAGATCCTTCGGACTCGAGATGTGACTGATTCCCTTGAGGAGCTAAAAAAAGGATTTCGCAAAATGCGATGTGCTTTTGGGTGGTGAAATGAAACTGCTCTAAGATTGAGTTAATCTTTGCAGCCGCCGAGGCCAATGGAGAGAAAGTTGGAGCCTTGGGAAACATGACTACTGAATCTAAAGCTGCCCTCCCGTCACAGTCTAACAAGTTAAACCACCAGTACTTGGCCCAGCTATCGCGGCCGTGGGAAATAAATAGAGTAGAAACATTTCTAGTCGGATGAATTTGGGCGCTGCTGTAGTGACCCGTATGTTTCCTAAAATAGTGGCTTGTTCACGGGCACGACTTTATGAAGTACGGTGAGCCTTGCTGTCCGAAACTTGTCGCCACAAGAAAACGATGCCAAAACATCAAACGCTGGACCCACCGTTGATAAATTCGATCGGTGGTCGTGTTTTCGTTTCGCGCCTCTCGAATTTTACCTGTCCGGCCTGCGGGCCAGGTGCCCATGTACTGGTGCTTTAATAACAACAAAATCGTCTGCACTCGCGATACGACTGCTTCTCTTGAGGAGCTAGAGAATGTGATTTGCTCTTGGGTTCTGAAAAAGTTGAACTGTACTATGGGTGAGAGTTGATCCATGTAGAGGTTGAGCTCGACGGAGAGTGAGTCGGAAATTTAGCAGGTATAAGATGCGCCCATAGTTACTTGAGCCGATTGTCTGTCAAAAATTTTTGTCTCAGCGACTCTACTTGTTTCCCCGGGGACAAAATTTCTTTATGTGGTCCACCTTGTCACACCGCGTGCATGCCCCCCCTATGGATTCTTCCTGGCCAAAACTTCCTTTGATAGGTTGTGATGCTCCCAGCGTTTTTCTCGCTGGTGCTGACGAAGATTGCTGTACCGGACCTTTACGCTGACTCTGCAGGGATGACGGTGTTATCACCCCCTTTCCCTTGTCCTTCTCAGCCACCTCTGCCAACTCTACGCCTTCCCTCATAAGCCCACTCTTCCTGCTTATTGTCACTATATATATATATATATATATATATATATATATATATATATCGTCACAAACAGATATATATATATATATATATTTTTTTTTTTGGGTTGTTGTTGTTGTTGTTGTTGTTGTTGTTGTTGGTGTGTGTGTGTGTGTGTGKGGGGGGGGGGGGGGGGGGGGGGGGGTATAGAACAATGTCCTCCTTTATGCTACAGTCCCATTCACAGCTACCAACCCCGTTATAAACTTGTGCATAGTAACCGACAAATTTAGGCAAAATACAAGATCTACGTGACCAAATTTTCCAACTCTGGCGAGCCACACGCGAATGCTTTTTCAACAGACAAGCATCTACAAATGGACCTTTCCATTTGTCGGATCAATGTAAAGCAATTATTTTAGGATCGGCCCTGATGATGGGGTGGTGCACATGATAATGTAGAAAGTTACTAGGAACAATTCATGCACCTCCACACTGTGCAGACTCAGCTTCAAAAAGGCACAATGGAGGTGCCTGGCTGACAAGGACAAGTTGTTATGCTATAACGTTGAATAATTCTTGACCGTCGGAGGCAGGAGTAGTAGCTGCTGCTGTTGCCGACCTCCCCTTTGCCAATCCTGCCCTTGGACTGGTCGATTGGGGCATCCAACCGCAGCGACCACTGAAAGTCCCCCCGAATACGGCCCAAGTTGGTTATAGAAGGGCCATGGACCATATATTCCACACCCAGACCAACAACCAAGTGGATAAAACCTGACCATTGCCCAAGCGAGCACAGTCCTTGCGGCGAAAACCCATCCGCGCCCATTTGTCCCACCCTCTCCTGCCCTGCAGCAGCGGGCTGTACCGAAAGGGTTGGGCCCCAGATTGACCACCTGCATACAGTGTGGGCCAGACTAAGTTCCCCACATGTTCTACACCTGAGTGGGCCATCAGTTAAGGGGGGTGGGAAGTGAGGGAAGCAAGAGAGAGGGTGAGTGCTCATCATGTTTGAGAGCTATAAATAATTGGCATTTCAAGATAGACATTGCAGTAGGGCCGACGACTTCTGGGCCAGGGTTCTGAGCGCCTTGCGCCAACTCCCTCTTCCTGACAACCCCCCTCCGACTACCTTCTTCCCCCGAATACAACGTACGGTCATTATAGCTGTATTTGAGGCATCTTTCAGTTTAGATACAACTATAATGACTGTACGTTGTATTCGGGGGAAGAAGGTAGGTGGGAGGAAGTGATGCGCCAACCCCTGTTTGGAAATAGGAGGATCACCGATCGATACAGCAGGGTGTTTTGCAGTTCGGTCACCCCGTGGAGTAGCTGGGTTAAAAAAGGCGTTATGCGAATAAAAAACATTTGGAACCCAGAGACGAGGGATTGGAAGACAGTGCAGCAACTGAGGGAGTCACTAAAATACTGTCATAATATTGCGGAGAACTTTGAAATGTTGATATTCGGAATTCCCCTGGACTGGGTGTGCATCCTGCGCGAAGGACCACAACTGGAAGAAGGGGACTGGGTATCTATACCGGACGACTCAGAGAGCGTGAGAAATGTAGTGGACGTGCGGTCAGATGAAACTTTGATTAATGTTTTTCACGTAGGCAAGGATAATGTCCTTTCCCGATACTCCCCGGATGTGATGAGATGGGGAAAAAACAAGGAGTTACAACGGATCCGCGTGTTACGAGACAAGGATGTATGGACTGCATATCAGCCAAACACCCCATTGGTTGAACTCCCCTTGGATCCCGAGGAATGGCTGTGGTCATATCCATGGAAAAGCAGATCTCGGGGGAAGACAATGCTGCAGAACCTAACAGTGAAGGCAACGTACCGCCTGTTGCGCCCCAAAGTAAACATTAAGGAAAAGGTAAAGGAAAGATGGAGATCCCAATTGAATGTAGGAACGGAGGTGATCCGTCCTATCCGTTGGTTCACTGCCACCAGAGCCAGGCCAACAAAGATGGCCTCAATGCAGCGGCAGATAGAATATCGTTGCTTACCCACCAAGGACTGGTTGATAGATCACAGCCGTCTAGAGCAGAGAGGGCAGGTGTTACCCTGGTGCAAAGCATGCCACACTGTCTTCCCCTCCCGCAGAATCCTGGAAACTATAAAACACATATTTATGCAATGTCCGGGTGCAGTCCTCACATGGCGATGGTGGGATAGAATCTGGTCCCGTCTGGACACTCTGTCAAAATGGCCTTGTGACTGGAAAGCCATATTATGTGAGACATGGTCCTCCCCCACGGATAACTCTTTCGAAAATAACATGTTTAAAACAGGAAGGAGAGCTGTCATGTGGGCCCTCTGGAGGAAACGTTGCATACATGCTATAGCGGGGGGGCCCCCATGACAGAGGGAGAGATGACAGATATGATAAAACAATATGTACAACAAGATCTAACGGTACAGTGGCAAAGAATTAAGAATCAATCGGACTTGTTTCACTCG